CTACTACTACTACTACTACTACTACTTCCGCTGAGGAGGTTCTGTTTTTGTCAGAGTATCTGTGTGTTTGGTTTTTTTTTCCACTGACGTTCTACAGATTCTATACAAATTTCACAGACTGCATACAAAGTTTCCCCTCCTTTCATTTATTGGGGGAGGGATTTTTTCCCTTCCCTTTGATTTCATGACTTTTGGCAGAGGTCTGCACTCTCTTGAGTGCTCTTGTTATCATTGTATATGTCTGTATGTAATTTTTTCATGGCTGCAGTATTGCACCGTATGGCCCACGGTAAATTCGGCTATAGAAAATTTCTGTGATGCCTCCTCTTCCCTTGATGACCCTAAGCATGTACTCGTTGTGATTAATGGTTAATCCACCCCTGCCTGCTAGCCACCGTCATTTTACCTACCCAAGGGAGAAGCTGTCTGCCTTGTGGTCCCCAACACCTCTAGGGACATCCAATTTTAAAGCAGAATTGTGTGCATATGTTTGTTTAGTTCTGCAATGGCCCCACAATTAAATTTCAAGGACATGAGGCAGTGATGGTGGAGTGATGCAGCCTCTGGTAATTTCTGGGAATGGGATTGGCCCCAGAGCCACCCAAATGGTTTATTTCCTTCTATGGGAGGCCCATTAGCAGGAAATGGAGGTAGAAGCAGCATTCCTCTAATGGTCTTTAGCAGCTGCAGTTGAGAGGTAAGTGCGTGGAGGGGGAAAAACACACACATCTGCAAGTCTGAAGCACAATATTTCCCCACAAATTGGATGAAAATTTCCACACACAGTTCCGTTAAGAAGATTGCTTTTTCTCATCAGGTAGAAATAAAGAGGTTGCTCCACGCCACTCGATGCGCAAGGCGATGGAAACGGACCATGTACAATATCCTCAAGTGAACCTAATAGCCCACCCTTGCCAAAGGATGATAAAGAATCCTTCCAGCACTTTCTGCTCAGGTTTTTCAAGTTTCAACCTTTCTCTTCCAGCAAGCTTTCCCTCATTGGCTGGATGCCAGAATAGGTTTTTTTTTTTAATGGATGGTTCTGCTTTACTGCTTTGAATGTGTTTTTGGTGCTGCTTTTATTTACCTTGTTTTAGTGTGGTATTTCCTTGATCCTTTTCTATTTGACTACCCAGTCTGATGAACTGACTTCACAGCTCAAGTTCATAAGAACTGACTAGCCTTGCCATATCTAGTTACATGGGTGTGTGTGTGTGTGTGTGTGATTTGCTTCTTTCCTTTACAACATAATCTCCCTTCCTCCAACCATTTCTCTTAAGAGAGGAAACAAGGCTGATTAGATACATTTACAAATTAAAGCCTCTCCTTTCCCTGCTGAGCTAAGAAAATGCATGGGGTGCGGTAGGCTGGCCACTTACACCTCACCAGGAGATGCGTCATCAAAGAGGAAGACAGTTCTTTGAATGGACGACTGTCCTCTCTGTAGGAGGACATATGGCCATCCAACATGGTGTGAAGAGATGGAAAAAGGAGGTTCTGCAAATGAAGACCAGCAACAGGCACTGAAAGAAAGAAAGAAAGAAAGAAAGAAAGAAAGAAAGAAAGAAAGAAAGAAAGAAAGAAAGAAAGAAAGAAAGAAAGAAAGAAAGAAAGAAAGAAAGAAAGAAAGAAAGAAAATGAGGAAGGAGAGACAAGGATAGACCTTAGGACTACTTAGAGCTTTCCAAATGAAGCCCATCCCTCCCATATACACACAACACACTCGCAAAATACACTCAGTCCTAAATATAACCCAGATTCAGCGTAGCTACGTGAAAGATCAATCTAGAAATGTAATCAATCAGGGACCACCTTGCCAAACTTTAACAAAATATGTGCAGGCAGCAGAGAATAAATAGACTCGGGGAAAATTAATCGGAGCCCACCCCCAGGGCTCAGCGACTGGAGTTCCCACAAGATATTTGGATTTTCATTGGGGGCTTCTGCTGGTAATTTCCTTCAACTTTGTCACATTGTTGTATTGCCACAGGGACTGTGAGCAGTCATGTCAGGATTTTAACCCTGGATATTTGGATTTTCATTGGGGGCTTCTGCCAATTTCCTTCAACTTTGTCACATTTTTGTATTGCCACAGGGACTGCGAGCAGTCATGTCAGGATCTTAACCCTCAAAATACTGGAGCAAATTTTGCTGACTTATAGAGGTGCTCAAATATGACTGGGGACTCATTCAACAACACCCAAGCTGATCCAAGTGTGATCAAATACCCCTACTCCATTGCAGCTGGACCATTTTACTTGAAACTGGTGCACCTCTCCACTCTTTCGTGCTGCTGCCCTCTGTCTTTCAGCAGCTTCAAAAATGTGCATACACAACAAAATGTTGCATGGACTTTTTGCATTGTGGAACTCCTATACAATATTAGTTCAGCCCAAAGGGGTGGGATGAAGAAAGAGAAGGGCTTTGAGTACAAGATTTGCATCTCAGAAAAAGTGAGAGAACTGACGAAGCTTGAGCTGCTCTTGCCAGTTGGATGACTAAGATCTTTGACGACTTGGTTGAGGTATAACTTCTATATGTTTGTGTTGAGGGGGTGAATCTACTTATTGAATCCATGAACTGCATACAATTGTACTGATATTTTATTTTAGGGTTCTGAAGATTCTTTTCTACCTAACCAGGCTGTGGAAGATATATTGGATTTTTGGTCTGACTTTGAAATCAGAGGAACACTTGAACTGTGCTGATTCGAAAAACAACTTCTGTATTTGTTGCTGTTCCCAAGGTCTTTGGTGGACAAATTGTAGCATATTGTTGTTGTTGTTGTTGTTGTTGTTGTAATTGTTCACGTTGTAATTGTTCACATTTTTTAGTTGGGGGATGTTGTGCAAGACTGGCGTAGGAATTGCTTCTGAATGAACTGCAACTTTTGTTGTTGTTGTTGTTGTTGTTGTTGTTCACATTGTCTGGTATATGAATGCAAGACCATTTTTTAGTTGGGGAATGTTGTGCAAGACTGGCGTAGGAATAGCTTCTGAATGAACTGCAACTTTTGCTTTCTTTCCTCCATGTTAGGGGCAAGCTCTCCCATCAAGGGGATCTCATTTATTTTAACCTGTCTATATTCCAGATTGAATGGATGGCAATGGTGACCCATTGTGATTTGGATTCACATTTTATTGAACCGTTGTAGCTCAAGAATATGCTTATTTTAGGTCACTGAAAGACCATTATGCCTCTTTTACTATGACTCTGTGTGTGAATGCATTAAGGGTGTCTGACCCCTTAAATGGGGGCTTAGTACTGAGAGGTCAAAATTCATAATTCCTGTCCTCGCACCCCTGCTCTCCTCTTCTCTGGACACTGTAATCAGCTGCTGATAGCTTTCATATTTCCCAATTTGGGGAAGAAATTCTCAGGACAATTTAATGGACAAAGGGTGAAGCAAAGGTTAGAGAGACGAGGGAATCTGAAGTAAACATGATTTTTGTGTTTTAGATCTTCACCCTCAGGAATTGCTAAAAAGACTTTTAAAAATGCAAAAAATAGAGAGAGACTTTCATGCTAAGGGGATTTCATTAAAATACTCCTAGCCCACCCTGATCAAATATTTCAGCTCTGGGCTTCCATACATTTTGAAGACATTGTTAATTCAGCTTCTAAGGAATGTTAGAAGAAATGGCCCACCCTGATCAAATATTTCTGCTCTGGACATCCATGCATTTTGAAAAGATTCATGTAACCTTTAGCCTCTATTCTGTCTAGGTATCACAACATTTTTGAGGTGAAGAAAATGAATGTAAGAGGATCTCCTCTCGTTCCGTAAGTATATTATGGAATCATTTTACTTGAGGTTCAATTTTCCTATTGTGTATCCTAATTTAATTCATTGACTTTCTATATTACAATGATCTATTTTTATTTCATGCAAACAACAATAAGACTCTGAATATTCGGGCAGTCAAAATGGTAAGCATATACTTTTCAGCACTCTCTGTAATCTGCATTGATTCATTTTGGTGTTTTTCTTCAAATAGGCTTCTAACTACGGCGAGAGTTTTGTTTCCTGCAAATGAGTACAATGATTCTGGAGATGCAGAGTTTTACATTCTGACTTACCAATTAGACAATTTAATGGAAAACATCATCAACGGCTTCATTCTCCTTATCAGCCTTTTGGGTCTTGTGGGAAATGGAGTGGTCATCTGGCTCCTTGGCTTCCGAATTAAGAGGAACCCTTACGACACCTACATCCTCAACCTCTCCGTAGCCGACATTGGTGTTCTCATCTGCCTAATTTTTATAGCTATATCAAACTCTGTGGACACTCAGAATGGAATAATTCCTCCTGTCTATTTGTACTTTTACATAATTTTTGAATTGTTTTTCTTTGCTTACTCTGCTAGCCAGTTCCTTTTGGCAGCCATCAGCATTGAGAGATGTGTGGCTGTTATTTTCCCCCTTTGGCATCAATGCCACCGGCCACCACATTTGTCCGCCATCGCTTGCGCCCTCATATGGATCCTCTCCTTCCTGCTTCCTGCAGTGAGCTTCACTCTACTATTGGCTGGTATTTTGCTTGCCCAAAATTTCTTATTTCAGCTTATTGTGAATGTTTTCCTTTGTGCACCCCTCATGCTCATCTCCACTCTGATCCTGTTCATTAAAGTCTACAATAAAGCAAATCAACGTCATAAGTGGGGAAAGCTCGTCACAGCCATCCTACTGGCACTCCTTTTCTTCCTTATCTTTGCTCTTCCTCTTAATGTATTTTATATCACTTTATATTTTTGTTTTAGATGTTTTTCTTCTTATACGTCTTTCTACTCCCTGCTCCCGATTGGCCTTTTGTGTGCCTCTCTTAACAGTAGTATCAACCCACTAATTTATTTCTTGGTAGGGAAAAGACAGAGGCAGAGTCAAGCAAGGGTGTCCATGAAGGTGGCACTCGAAAAGGTTTTTGAGGATGAGCAAGACAGCAAACGAGAGCAGAACACCCAGAGTGAAACCCTGGAGTGACAATACACAAGAGTGAAGTTTCTATTAAAAACATGCAAAACATAAACAAATTGTAAAATAAGGCATAATGCATGATGGCAAAATAGATAAGAAAGGTGTGATCACTATTATTATAAAAGAAAGGAAAAAAGAGAATTTCTTGCAAAATCTCCAAAACCAGTGTAACTCAGAATATATAATTTAATATATGCAGAGTTCTCCAAGTTAAAAAAAAACTTTTATTCCTTAAGGGATTAAGCCCTTGCTGCCCCCTGAGTTTTAAAGGCACCCAAATCATATATATATATATGCAAAATCATTTGGCTCAGGATAATTAGATGATACTAACTTTCCACAAAGCTGAAATAGATTACACTTGGGACTGTCTGCTGTCTCGCTCTTCCTCTCTCTTCCTAAGGGTTCAAATGATTGTGGGTCCCACTTCTCTAAATGGTGGGAATGGTCAGGAGCAGGTGATAACAGCAGGGGAAGAAAAGGAAGGAAATGGGAAGGTGAGGGAGACCGGCTGTCTCTTTCTCCTCAGGATTTCACCCTTCCCACTCCTCTGCTCCACCCACCCACCCACATTCCTAGAAGTATATATAAAACATATACATAAATTTCGCACCCACATTCCTATAACCATATATAAAACATATATATATAAATTTCGCTTCCCCCCCTGAAAATGTAAAGCACAATTTCTTTTTTGTCAGATCTCTTAATGTGAACTGGATAAGGAATGTTTTTAAGCTCAGTAAGCTTTCATAATATTACTACTGTCTTCTCAATATATTTTGTTCTTCTATCATTTTGGAAATATTTTATTTGAATGGACGTACTATGATATATTATATGTATTATGCCGTATTAATGATAAAACATAATGGATGCTGTATTAGAAGGTATTGTGAACCAATTTGAGCACAGGGCATTCTGGAACATGTAGTGTATAACTAAACCTAACAAACTTAATAATGATAATCATCATCATCATCATCATCATCATCATCATCATCATCATCATCATCATCATCATCATCTTCCATGTAATAGGGCTGTAACTTTTGTACTCATCTTTTGTTACTGTTCCGTCACTTCTTCCTTTCTGTCTGTCATCATTATGAAGTATTTTGAAAAGTTTCTTAATATGAACTGTTTAAGGAATATTTATAAGCCTAAATTCCTTTTTCTTAGAATGTTTAATATGAACTGTTTAAGGAATGTTTATAAGCTCAGTATACTATGAAAATATTAATACTGTAGATAGTCATCCTTCCGTCTCGATAGACTATGGTATTGTGCCCTGTATGGAGGACTTGGAACAGCGTCTAGTGTGGCTGAGAAGGCTGATTCGAGAGGGACCATCCCTTCCACACTGAAGACAAATACAATCTCTTCAGTGTCCAGATACCTGGTTTTGCTGCTTTTGTGACTGCCTCTTTGCCTCGGCCTGCTGGACGAGGGTCTCTTCAAATTGGGAGAGGCCATGATGCACCACCTGCCTCCAGGCTGAACGCTCAGATGTCAAGGTTTCGCATCTGTTGAGGTCCATTCCTAAGGCCTTCAGATGCCACTTGCAGATATCCTTGTATTGCAGCTTTGGTCTCCCTCTGGGGTGATTTCCCTGCACTAATTCTCCATATAGGAGATCTTTTGGAATCCGACCATCAGCCATTATTGCAACATGCCCAAGCCAACGTAGACGTCACTGTTTCAGTAATGTATGCGTGGTAAAAATTCCAGCTCAAACTAGGACTACTCTATTTGGGACTTTGTCTTGCCAGGTAATACCAAAAATTCATCCGAGACAACACATATGGAACCTGTTCAGCTTTCTTTCCTGCCGTGCATGAAGGGTCCAGGACTCACTGCAGTACAGGAGTGTGCTCAGGACACGGGCTCTAAAGACCTGGATTTTGCTATATGCCGTCAGCTTTTTATTGAGCCATACTCTCTTTGTGAGTGTTGAGAACATGGTAGCTGCTTTGCCAGTGCATTTATCCAGCTCAACATCTAGGGAGAGAGTGTCAAAGATTGCTGAGCCAAGGTACACAGATTCATGAACAACCTCCAATTCTTGCGTGGACATGGTAATAAAGGGAGGTGAGTCCATGCCCTGGCCCATGACTTGTGTTTTCTTCAGGCTGATAGTTAGTCCAAAGTCTTGACAGGCCTTGCTAAAACAATTCATGAGTGGTTTGAGTAGGCAACAATGGCTGCATCATCAGTGAAGAGGAAGTCCCACATGCATTTCAGCTGGACCTTGGTCATCGCTCTCAATCTAGAGAGGTTAAAGAGCTTTCCATCTGATCTAGTCTGGAGATAGACACTTTCTGTTGCAGTTCCAAAGGCCTGCTTCAGCATGACAGCAAAAAAGATCCCAAACAGGGTCAGCATGAGGACACAGCCCTTTTTCACTCTGCTTCAAATGTCCAAAACTACAGTGCCCTTCATTCCCTCATGAAAGGACCTGATGATGCTAAGGAGTCAAGGTGGACATCCAATCTTTGGAAGTATTTTTAAAAGGCCATCCCTGATAGCCAAGTCAAAGGCCTTAGTAAGATCTATGAAGGCCACTAAGAGCGGCTGTTGTTGTTCCCTGTATTTCTCCTGCAGCTGTTGGAGGGAGAATACCATGTCAGTGGTGGATCTATTAGCTCAAAAACCCCACTGTGATTCTGGATAGACTCTGTCTGCAAGCACCTGGAGCCTCTTCAGCACAACACAGCCAAGCAGCTTCCCTACAACGCTAAGAAGAGAGATATCACGGTAGTTATTGCAGTCGTCCCGTCTCCTTTGTTCTCATACAATGTGACGATGTTTGCACCTTTCATGTCCTGTGGTACTCCACCTTTGCTCCAGCAAAGACAAAATACTTCATACAGTTTGGTGGCGATGGTCTCTTTACAGCACTTCAGAACTTACTACATTCTCAGTATATTTTGTTCTTATTTCACTTCTGTCATGTTTTGTTTGAATCTTCCTGTTATGATGAATGATATGTATTAAATGTATGGCATAATTCATGTATTTGCATGCTCTGTGAACCAGTTTGAGCATTGTGTATTGTGGAATAGGTAATATATAACTAAAGTTAATCATCATAATACTGTATGAACACATAGGGCTCTAATGTTTTTACTTATATTTTTCCTATTATTACTTTTCTGTCACTTCTTTTTTTTTGTCTCTGATCTTTATGAAGTAGTTTGAAAAGTGTCTTAAACTCCATTTTCTTAGAAGGTTTACCCTTTACATTTTTTAGTCATTTTACTCTTTTTTGATCAGTTTTTTCCCTGTTTTCTGAAACTACCCTTGAGAAATCTTTCTCTAGTCCACACTTCTCTTAAATACTTGAAGTCTGCATGATGCAGACTCATTTCCCAGCCCATCCAGAAGAGAACCCGAGACACTCTTTCAAGTAAGGGAAGATCCCAGAACCTGACTCCTTTTTTTCATCAGTTTACCACTTCTCGCCCAAACACAAAGCAACTCTCATTGCTTCACTGCCGTCCTTTTTTTTGCTAAGCAAGAACACACAGTGAAGCAAACTCTTAAGGAGATTAACATATTGGCGTGTTGCAGCTCAAAGAGCAAAGAGAACCCACCCTAGTTCGTCACAGGAGGCTGATAACATGGATCACACTCAACGGATGTCAAATAAAACTTGTCAAGATGACAGAAGGACCACAGACATTGATTATGTTAAAACTCATCTAGAGATACAGTTGTTGCTGCAAATGCTCCTATTCTTGAAATGTGCATTAAGAGAGAGCAGTATTTCTTTGAGGGAGGCAAATAATAAAGAACGTAGTCACCAATGGATAAAACAATATACAAAGCTGATTCTCTGTCCTGCCCCCAATTCTTGGCATTCAAGAAGTACGCTAAATTAAACTAACACACACACACACACACACACACACACACACACACACACACACATGAATATGCAAGCTCTGTTTAGGAACTAAGAACACTCAAAACACAAGTAGCCTGGTCGGCCATCTTGCTTCTCCATCGTTCTATGTGCAGCTACCACTTATTGAGCCACACAACTCACCTGGATGTCTTAGGCTCAGTCACTCATTCTTAGCCTGAACTTTCTTCTAGAGCTTTTGTTCAGGAAAAGTGGAAGGGGAGGGTTAGAGTTAGGGTTAGAGTTAAGGTTAGAGTCATTTTGAGATCCCTTGAGGACATATGCGGTATAGATGTAATTTTGTCTCTCCATGACAAAAAAGGGATGGGGAAAGAGCTACCCCAATCCATTTCGTCAGTTGGGTGTTCAAGTACCACACTGTACAATCTGATCCCATCTGATTTTGCAGCAACACAAAGTTCAACCTGATTAGTATCATGTAGAAATGAGTACGAACTCTGGGTTTGGCAGTATGCAATTTTCGTCCTTCAGACTCGCAGGAGTTCTGTCGGCCCTTCGGCTTCCGTCCCTCAACTCCTTCCGTGGCTGAGAAGAGGAGGAGGGGCATGGAAACCCAGGACACACTGCCTCGGAGTATGCGCACACCAGTGGAGAGACAGGAAGAAGAAAGCACAACAAACCACCGAACTGGCAGTTCTTGCCCATCTCTTGAACACCAAGGATCTGTAATTAAGGCTGGGAGAGAATCCTAGATCCTCAATGAGGAGATGTTGTCATACATATATTTTAGAGATGCCTGGGAGGGATTTTAGAGCCTGCCCCTGACCAGTAACCAAAATGCCACCTGCTTTTTCTCAAGTCTCCTGTTTCCCACACAAGTCCCCTCCATGCGGCTGGCCCTACATACAGGCCCCCAAACAAGGTGGTCCTTCAGTTCAGGTAGGAATGTTTTTAAATCAGAAATCAGATCTCAAAAAGCACTTCCCCAACTTTCTCCAAATGTGGTAGACACCAAAACCCATACTATCTGCAATCACTTTACCAAATATGGTTCTGATTCAAGAACCTGTTCAAAAGTTATAATGCTTTAAACTGGATTCCCCCCGCCTATGAGAGAAATGGCTCACAGGATGTTGAT